ATGAATATGTAAGGAACATGTATTTGTGAAATTATGAATGGGAGATTTAAAACACGGAGATTTTTAACTCGAATTTTGCGCGCTTTTTTGTGTGCACAGTAAATTTGCATGCAGATACTTTTTAACTCTCTGGTTGTCCTCTCCAATTATTCAGAACAGTAAGCTATAGATCTCCAGCAACTTTGCACCTCAATTATTTCTTTGGATCATATACAGGTATAACGTAATTTTTTAATTTCATATTTGTTATTAATTGATAACTGCATGCTCAATAAGTGTGTTAATATTGTATGTACATAAATTATGAGATATGTATATAAATAAATAGATGACTCAGTTAATTGCAATTGGGTAAATACCAAGCATTTCAAATTTGTAGAAGCAATTAAAATTACTAGTCTAAATACTCGTTTAAATAATCTTTTAATATTTATTGCAATAAAGAGGATTCCAGTCACAAACGGCGTGTGCTCATTGTCATGATCGGGCAAACGGAAACATCAGTAAACAATTCGATGTGAAAATGTCTTACAATTTGTATGAAAAACATCAGTCAACACTCAAAATAATGTATATCACACGACATTCACGTTGACTTCATGTATAAACCAATTGTATTCCCAATCAACAATTTAAAGGGGTTCATAGGGGAGGGTGCGTGGAGGTTTGATGTAAAGTTATTAATATTTTGGTCAATGTGTTATCAATAATCATGAAAGAGCAGCATTCAAGAATTAAATGTCATGCATACGATGTAATGTATACGCATCCCATGCCATATTTGTAATCATGGTACATGTTTTATAAATAAATATTGGAAAAAATAGTATATGGATATTTTATTAAACACTCCGAAGAACTGATATAGAAATATCCCTTTATTTCTTGGCAAACTGTGAAACCTGATATAGTAAGATTTTGTTGAGTTGCTCTATGTGTTTGGCAGATTATTACATACATGTACCGGCTAATTTTTTAATTAACACCACGAGCATTCGCTTAGTTTAGGCAACAAACTGTGAGCCTTATAATGTATAAATATTTTTAGTTGTTCAGTCTGTTTGGATAAATCCTAATATATCGCGTGGTGATATTTCGAATTAGATCTACTTTTCGTCAGAACGAGTCAGATAAAAGTGAAAGATTTTTCGAATTGCTTTAGCCGAAATTGCTTCCGTAATACCCTTCTTCGTTATTCAATAAACTTTGGTTACATACATGTACATGTATTATCATATGTTTACAAAGGTTATTGCAGCTACAATTAGAATACATAATATTGTTTCTATTTTTATCTTTGTGATGAAATGCCTTGCAATATATATTTATTACTGAAAATGTGAAATGTTGGTTCAGGAAAGATTAATATTGAAAATCCTGTTGAAACTGCTGTGTAAATCGCTTGCTGATTTATAAATCCGATTTTCAAATTTTCCAGTTCCGCTTTAATTTAAGACTATTCTTACAGGCATGCTTTTTGAAATTTTTGAAAGTTAAAATGTCCATACAATTTTTTTTTAATAAAACAAAAATCTTTCTGTTTTTCATTTATTTCATTTGATTAGCTAGTTAACTGTGTTTTAAAATTCCAAAACTTTCAAAAATATTTTTCATTTCTTTTGGGGTTTGAAACTGAAAATATAAAAGCCTATCATGAATTTCCATCATCACTATCGTTTGATTGATTGTATGTTTTTAAGTCCCATTACAGAATTTTTCACTCACATAGAGATGTCACAATATAAAGATGAAGGGCTCCAACTTCAGATCTATACTTGGCACTCAGGGTTAATGAGCAATGAGGGTTCTTGATCGCACTAAGGCCTTATGCCCTACCGTGACAAGGGACCTCGGTTTTTAAGGTCTCTCAAACGAAAAACCCGTGATTTTCATTTCTAATGCCGGGCGCTTGGCGAAGGATCAGTCACTACCTATTCTTAGGTTTGAAACGGCATGGCGAACAAGAATCGAACCCGGGCCCACCGATCACAAAGCAAACGCCCTACCACTAGGCTACCGTGACCGGCCATTACTATCGAAGAAAGGTATAAAGTTAATATTTATGAAGCCAACAGTTGTCAATCGTGGATATGAATTAGAATTAAACAATCATGAATATAGGTGGATTAAACCTTCAATACCATAATTTGAAAAGGTTAAAACAATTGTTTTATTTTTTTTGTCCATTACTCTTAAGTAAACCTACATTTTTATTTTTTTTGGGGGGGGGGGGTGGGGGGGTTTACGAAATTCCTAATGTTTAATTGCATGTAAATATATACATTTATTCAATTACAAAGACTGTCAATTTTTCTTCCATCATTTTGGTGAAGGTCATGTTTTAAATTTTCTAACAATTGCATTATAAGTTTTGGGATCTTTACTATAGGTTTCCGTCCTATTTCATGTCTGTAATGATACTTTGTTAAGGTGTATCCTAAACCTTTGGCCAGATGTTAGCTCAACGACTCTACGATAAAAGCGTTTGAAACTCCAATTGTAGTTATACGGGGCTTTAATGTACATATATTCATACAGATTTGACATGAGGTTGCAAATGAACAAAGGATGGACTTTTATCATGACAATATGTTTACTAGTTACTGCTGGTAATCAAGACGATTATTGGGACTGTATACTTAGTGTCTGCTTCTTGTCAAGGTTTACTCGGGGTCTTTAACTTTTTTCCTATCAGATATTAAAAAAAAAGCAAGAAGTGGACTAGTTTTAACTTCTTAATAGCTTTAAATAGCTGTGAAAATACTTCATTTCTTCTTTTTTTTCCGAAGTCGTATTCAATTTTTTTAGAAGGATATTAAAAAGTATACTCACCTGCAAACAGAAAGTCACAAGAACAAACAGCTATGGCAATGAAACGGGGTTGTGAAAAGTTCGTTTTACACATCGAACGAGAAATCCAAAGAATTGCAAAAAGACTTGAACTAGAAATCCAGACTAGAAAGAAAACACCAGTATAGGCATTTGTATAATTGACAACGTGTAAAACTAGTGTACCATTTTCTTTTTCAGGGCAAGTTATATTAGTGGGCATGTTGATGCTTCCGAGTTTTTTCGACAAGGAAAGAAATACAGACTGTACAGTCAACAACATTCAAGTCGTAGTACCAAAAAAATCAATAGATATATTATAATATCCACAATATATCGATGTATACCTGGGTATGTTATTCAGTGTCTTTTGCATCGATACCATTTTTGAGTATTTGAAGACAAATAAGATTCTAGTAGGTATAAAGTACATATAACTGACTTGCTAGAGTATATCATAGATTTGGTGGACGTATCTTTATATTTAAATATTTGGTTTTAAAACTAACTGATTTTAAAGTAATTTAAGGATAATGAAGTTTAAAGTAACTGAAGATGCCTTAAACCGTATATGAGGAAGGAATGTATTTATTACATTTCTGAGATAGCATAAAATCTAGTAATTTGTATAAGCAAATGTCCTAAATTTCAACAAATGTCCCTGTCAAAATAGTGTATACATATCATCGAAGTATTGTAATATGAAACAACCCGAGTAGGGAGTTTACAATGAAACATCTACATCCATTGAGTATTTTTTTTCATTTATTTCCTAAGAAAACAAATTCTGATAATTAACAGATTAACTTGCATGTAATAAAACGGGGTTTTCAAAACCATCTATACGAAAGATGTCTTAAAAAGAGGGAACTTCCATCAATGTAACAAAAGATCAATAATACAATATCACCAATTATATATTTTTGTTATACCCTTATAAATATCTTTGTATATATTTATTACTAATAAAAAATCCAACAAAAGAAATGTTTATTACATCGGGCTAACAGTTTCATTGTTGACCAGCCTGCCAGTCCAACATGAATGTTAGGCCTCAACGTCACTGCTACATCACAAGTAATTAATCGTAGATCCGTATAGCCGAAGTGTAGAGGTGGACGAGCTGTCGTATGCTATTTGAAAGAGTATGTTTTGTGATAAATAAGTTTGGATATAATAATTTTATTATTAATTTTTTCATTCTCTGCTATAATTGTTTTATTTTTATTGATCAAGGCAAAATTTTTCAAAGAAAGTAATTCATTATAATAAATATTGATCTAATCTGTTCAAATGTTTTCATTTTAATTGTTTTATCTGAAGTGAAGGGTATAACAAAACAATTATTGACTGGGTATGAGGGCAAGATATTATTTGTTGGACCTGAAGGTGAACATGTTGTCTTTGACCTGTGGCCTCGGGCAACATGTTCACCTTCACGTCCAACAAATTATATGTTGCCCCTGATACCCAGTCAATAACTAATATATATATATATAAGCATATATGTCTGTCAAGTTGTAAATTCGAGGATTAAGGGTTGCAAATACTTACTTAAAAATTATGTTTGTGTGTGTGTGTTTTGTTTTGTTTTCTCTTTTGCAAGGGTTGCAACCTTTAATTCCCGTATTAACAAGCAAAGAAAGCCTTTTCTTGTTTATTTGGAATTTACTCAAAACTATTGCTGTATTTGCAGTAATCAGGGCCAAGAATAAATTGTCGAGCTCAAGATTCTATTTTCAGAGAACTAAAAATGTGAGAAAGTTGTTGATTAAATGATTTCACCTGATCAGAACCGACTTTAGATCAAAGAATATTGACCAAACTATGTAAAATTTGAACCATTCTATTGAAAAGAAAAAACCAAAATATCAGTTTATTAAATTCGCAGCATTTTTCCTACAAAAACATTGAAGTATGGACAACACAGTAGGGAGACACATTACATAGCTCTTACGATTCCAGTTTAAGGTAGTCTTGCTTCATTTTTCTTTATCTGTTATTGACAAGTATATTTACAAGTATATCCAACTAACAAAAACTATTAATTAAAAATTCTTGAATAATGCTTTCATCAATTTACCCATCAAGTTGTCACTATTTACAGTGGAAAACTGAATTTCACAATTTTGTAAGAGGCACCCCTGCTCATGATCATCGTAAGTTTGCACTTAATCTATCTGCTGAATACTCAGGAATGTTGGTTTCCCTTTCCAGTGACTTGTATCCTGCTGGAACTTTGTAGCCTCTCCATGCGGCGACTAGTAGCTCTATGGGATTTGTCTTAACTTCAGACTCCGTTCTTGACAGGACACTGTAAGTTGGCAGACTAGATGGAGGAAGGGGCGGTCCTCCTCCCTTGCATCCTAGTGAGGTAGCTGTTCCACCAGTCTCCATCTATTGCTGTAAACCTTCCACTTTCTGTCCACTTAGGGAGATTCCGCGCAAGTCTTCTGTCATCCTGTTGATTTTGTAGAAGTTGGGTTCTACAACATCTGGCCAATTTGCAAAGTCTAGCACCAATTTGTCAAGGCCAACATCTCGATATACGAGGGGTGATCAAAAAGTTCGCGAACTATCTCAATATTTACAAAACCACAATTCAGATCAGAATGAAATTTGGCACACATATAGTCATACAATTGTTCCATAAATAACAGGTGTTAAATACTGTTTTGCTCCGTGTTTGTGACGTCACGAAGTGAAAATGACGTCAATATATAGGTGACTTGTGACAAAAAATGGTTGACTCAGTCGTACTGGAGAAACGAAGGGCTGTAAAGTTTAACGTTATATCTTGAAAATTCCTTTGCAGTAGAATATGATAATTTGTACAAGGTTTATGAAGACAATAGACTTACCAGAAGTCCAATCATTAATTAGATTGATTATTTTAGTGAAGGCAGGGAGATGGTAAAAAATAATGTTTGTTCTGTTGCCCAGCGAAAGCAAGCTGAGGAAAAGATGTGTCCGTAGTTGAGCAATTTGTAATGAAACATCGCCAAGTTACGATTCGAAAAATAGTTGAATATCTTAACAATAATATAATTATTAAATCCCTAAAATATCGTTTACTTTAGACTTTAAACATATGAAATATGATAAAGAGAAGGCGTCCATACTTTATCCACACTGGACAAACGATGCTCCCAAGACAGAGGACTCGGGTTGTGATGGTCACCATGTTAATTCTGGGAAGGGATATCCTTATCCACCTATCCTATTGCCGAGATTTGGCAATTTCTGACAGATCGACTGTTCTTGTTATAAAAAATAACTTACATGGTAAGAAATATAAGTCTCGGAAAATTTTTTAGCTTCTGTGAACAGACTGCTCCGGGGCATGTCACGTGACCGCCTTTTGATCACGTGATCCGCGCATGGGCAGAACAATGGCAGATATGCATTAAAATCGGAGAGGACCACTTTAAAAAATAATAAACATTGAAACCTCATTTCTTTTCTTTTAAGGAAGTTATTCAATTAGTTCGCGAACTTTTTGATCACCCCTCGTACTTCTTGAGAAATGGGCCAGTCTTTATAGGACAGCATGACTCTCCCTGACTTTCCGGAGATCTTGAAGACGTGTGGCTCCTTAATTCCCTCTATGAGGGAAGTCATAGACTTCTGTCTATGGCTACCATCCCTCTGAAATTCCAGAGACTGTCCAAGTGCTGGATTTTAGGTTTTGGACAGAATCTTTTCTCCACCATCTCATAAAGATTTTTCATAGAAATTATTTTCTGGGTGTGGGCCTCCCTGCTAATACAACTGATCATCTGAACGATGTATTAATGGGTAAGGTCCACCATTAGAAATGTCGGCTTTATCTACAATGTAGAAAAATGTATAAATACCATTGAAGGAATTATTTTTAAAAAATACCAGCTTTCTTTTTTCAATTTTTCATATCTACAACTAAAGTACTGATGGTAAATATTTAAGATAATAGCCCAAGTGGCTTGAGAAATAAAAAGTTAAATTGAGCCCTAATTCTGCAAATTAAGACTATATTTTTTAAACAGAGAACACATATGCTATTCTATTTCAAGTGTGCAAGAATAAAATTAAGCGTAAAAATTATAAGTTTAAAGCAGTAAATTGAAATTTTCTAGTCAGTAAATGATGAAATGATGCTTAGCTGTGCTAATAAACGGAAAGTTATACCTTTCCTTCTTCAGTATTGGTTTTTACCAGCATCGTCAGAAACATGATAAACTATGTTAAATTGGTAGTACTAGTCACAATTATTAAGATTGATTGATTGATTGTTGTTTTACGTCCCGTTCGAGAATTTTTCACTCATATAGAGACGTCACTATATACCGGTGAAGGGTTTTATAATTAGACCTTTACTCGGCACTCAGGGACATTGAGCAGTGATGTTTCTTTATCGTACCAACGCCTATCGTGACACGGGGCCTCAGTTTTTAAGGTCTTATCCGAAGGACCCTTAACTTTCACATCATGGTGCCTAGCGCTTGGCGAAGGAACAGTTGCTACCTATTTTTTTTTTTTTCGACTTGGGTCAGTCGCGGCCGTGATTCGAATACACGACCTTCCGATCACAGAGCGAGCGCTGTGCCAACTGAGCTACTGAAGGTTTCAATTCCTAAGATGTGCATGTTCTAAATATATACACCAGTAAATTTCTGCAGCAAATCAATCAATACAGTCCTTTAAATAAATGTTTATTTTTCCGGAAAACTGCTGTACAAACAAAATAATCAGTGGTAAATGACATACTCAGACAACGCATCCCCTTGCTGTTCTGCCATCAAAGATTGCAACATCATTCATCAAAATTTAAAAAAAAAAGCTGATAAATACAATTATGTATCTCAATGTAGTCTACTTTACATTGAAATTGTCGGCACACGAGCTGCATGTTGTTACCGGATCACCTGTTAAAGTTGAGGTTCATGTATCCAACTCTAACATCGGTTGATTGATTAATTGTATGTTGTTTAACGTCCCATTCGAGAATTTTTCACTCATAGAGACGTCACCATATACCAGTGAAGGGCTTCAAATTTTGACCTTTACTCGGCACTCAGGGCCATTGAGCAGTGAGGATCTTTATGGTGCCAACGCCTGCCGTGACATGGGGCCTTGGTTTTTAAGGCCTCATCCGAAGGACCCGCAACTTTCACTTCAAAGTGCCGAGCGCATGGCGAAGGAACAGTTGCTGCCTATTTTTTATCGACTTACTAACAATCGGTATGTTTACCGAAGCCAAGGCTTTCCTGCAGAGGTAAAAACTTTTTTTTACATTGAAAACAACAATTCTAAACAAAGATGTTTATAACAGAGCTTGTTACATAATTTTAGTTGTAGTGGTCACTATTTTTTTTTCATATATATATATATATATATATATATATATATATATATATATATATATATATATACTTATAAATTAATAAATTTTGCAAATAAACTCCGAAACGGGTGCACCAGAGTTCTTACTAACTTCTCTATGAATACACTAGATGCAAGATGATGTCCGTAAACTATATTCAGAATTCACTCGATTAGTACGTGCCGTACGTTAAATTAAAAGTCTACTTTCATTTTCTATAAACAACCATGAAATAGCAATAACGTGAGTACGGTGGCGGTTCCGGTTGGCGGATCTAAGTTACTGGCAATTTTTTATGAAACTAACAACAAGCAATCGTTTATTTATTTCATAAAACGTCATCACTGAATTATTCAATCAAAACTTCATTTAAATGATATAAAAGAAATTGGTTGTGATAACCTATTAAAAAGGAAAATATTCAAATTACTTTCGACATTCACTGATCTTACTATTGACGGAAACTTCTAGAACATCGTATAGCATCGAGCCCGATGTTAAGCAGAAAAACGAGGCGATTATAGCCTCGAACATAAAAAAAAAGCTTTTGTGTGAATGGTCATTGAAATAATGGTAAATCATTGGTAATACTATAAGGTGTGAATATATTTATACATATTGAAAGACTATTAATAGGTTTTCATAATTTATCGGTAAAATTTGCATATTCCTCACTGAGAGTATAGCGGCAACGAACCCGAGGTACAAGCTGTACTTCGTAATAAATTTGCTTACATGAAAAGAGAAAATTAATGAATAAGGTATTGTTCAAATACAATTAAAGCTGTTAAATTTTTGTGCTTTTATCAATACATTTCAGGTTTTATTTTTCTGAATACAGTCTTTTGTATCAAATACTCGGCCATAGGGCGTTAAAACCTAATGTTTACCCCCAAAAAATAGTCATTAAAATGTGCATATTCGCTGCTTTTATCCTTGAAGGAAATAAAATAAGAGCACCTGAGGCACAATATCCATAATATAGTATAACAGGTTTCACAATAAACGTCAATTAATGAAATTGTTTTTTCTTCTTCAAGTTTTTACAAGGGGGGGGGGGGAGGGGGGGTACATCTACTTCTGCTTTAAAGGTAAATGCGGGATTTTGTACAAAGTATTTCTAAATTCCTGCTATAAGCCTGTTGGTCGTGACTAGAAACTACAATATATGATTGGAATTTTTCTGTCGGTAGTAGTTCAAATTCAATTCCCCGCGCTTGCGCGGGATTTCATCTAGTATATATATATATATATCAGCAGTATATACGCGTAATTGTAGATAGTTGTTGAAGTTTCTGATTTGAGAAGGAATTGTACACAAGCATGGTGGTCATTGTAATGGTATTCTTTTTGCAGAAGGAAAGCCAATCACAAGTGTAAGATTCACAGCCTGGACCCTTAACAGGAACTGTGAGGTACCCCCCACCCCCGGCCTGTGCGCATTCAGGATAGTTCGACACGGACAAGTGTCTATGAGGATGAGTACAAGTGTCGTATTTGTGGGTAGGGGGAGTTGAAGACTAGGGCACTTTAGGTAGGGTGATTCCAACCCAAGTGCAATTATTGGGTCCACGCCTGTTGTTGACACATCAGGGCAAAGAGCCAAAGGACTCTTTGCAAGATTGAGTGGTTTTGCCCTCAACACTGGAGGAATGAAATATATTAATATTTAACTTGAATAGTTACCTTTTTATTCGTCAACCTCTCTTAGATCTTCCAGGAAGTGAATAATGGCCGATTTGGATTTTCCTTTAACAGTCTTCCATCTTGGTTTATAGGACACTACCAGACCAAGGCTTACATTGTTCAGGACATCTCCAACCATTTGAAGTAACGTTGCCTTAGTCTGGTTGTCCAATGCCTGTTGTTTTCCCCTCTCCTCTGGCAGAACAAATATTGGTTGGAATTTCCGTCTGGATGAAAGGTCATTCCCAGAAGATTCTAAGAACTCCAACATGTTCTCTTGGCATCTTCTGGAGAATTGAAGGAGTTCTTCATCCACACGGACTCCTCCTAACTGATAAGTATGCGAGAC